AGAGAGAGGGAGATTGGGGCGGTTCTGTTATGCAAGCAGCTCAGTATGCATGTAGATTGGAAGATGTGTGGCTCCTGTGGTTGGCTGTCCCCTGTGTCACTGCCTTTAAAAAACAGTTGCCAAGAGAAATGTCTTCTTTACAGGCTTTGGCTGCCAGATGCTGGGGATAATGGATAGGACTGCAGAAGGAAAGATGGAGAGGTGTGTGCAGCCAGCCACACAGACATGCAAGTGAGCACACGCACACATATTAGCACACACACACATGCGTGTTTGCACACTTTGTGGGCAGGGATCACCATAATGCTGAAGTAAGGCGTGAATAATTCATCTTCAAGTCACTGTTGTACACACACACACACACACACACACACACTGACACACAGGGCAAGTATTAGGCCTAGTAAGTCGTGTCACACTAAGTCGCCATGAATGAGCACACAGTTTGGGCATGCTTACAGATTCCAGAAGTGCCACATTTTGTGGATGTGTGCAGGACGTGTTAGGAGGGAATAGTTGTGTATGTCTGTGCAGCTGTGAACCAACACATGGGGCGCCAGTGTGTGAATGCAATAGTGTGTCTGCGAGCGGGAGAGCCAGTGACACAGGAATGTGTCATAGTTCCTGCAAGCCACTCAGCTCCTAAACTGCAGCAAATAAACATTCCTCTATTGCTGTGTCAGTGCTGAGCCCTCGCCCACTGTCGCTGTAAAACACAGCTTGTAATTAAAACCAAAAACTGAGCATTTCTCCCTTTGTCTCCAACAGTATTAGTAGATTAGAGATAATGGCCCCATGCCTTCAGACATTTCTCAGTGCTGTTTATTGCCTCAGAGATGGCATGTTGTGGTCCAGATGATGTCAAGGTGGGCCAAGACCAGGATCATCTTTATTGGTTAAGTGCAATGCAGATACAGTCATTTTGCCTTGCTGTGGTTAATCATATTTCACTGTGTAGTGCAAATGATCTCACATCTAGGCAAGGAAGACAGTATAGCACTATACAAAAACATCATACATTCAAATCCACAGTTTCAGATTTTGAAGAAGAGAAGTGTTAACATTCAATATACCCAGACACATATTGCTGCAGTTTATCACTGACTAGTCTGTTTGATTTGAATGAATGCAAGCCTCATCCCTGCTGACAGGTGAAATGATGCAAAGGCTCATGGTGTGTCACATAGATTCCACCACAGTTTGTGCTCATATTTCATGTCGATCTCAGAGCTGAAACGTTGCTGTGCTGTACCCATACATTGTCAGATGTCTATAAACATATTCTACTGTTGGTTGTCCTTGCCCAAAGTCTTTCCCTGTCATTACAGCTCTGTTTACAGGAGGACTAACAGTGTTTGCTAGCATATGATATCCCCTAGAATATACAGTGGTTTAAAGTCGCACTCTGACGCAGAGTTTTCCACCTGAATCACTTAATCCCAGTGGAACCCATTTGGACGTGTCACGTTATCTGTTTGTTGTCTCTTGTCTGATTTTTCCAGGTTAACCATTCACAGATGTGTGATTGGAGCCTAACCTTTTCTTGGCGGATAATTGTTCTCACCAAACTACTGCCTGTGCACTCCAATTTGTTTGTCAAATGCTACGTAAAGCTGACCATTCAGTGTTCATCATGGACCACTTTTAGGTATTTAGTTAGAGGTGATATTTCATGGTGACACGGTGTTTATCACAGCACTCTTGAGGTTGAGAAAAGTATTTAATATAAACAGAAAACAGGGCCAACAGTGAAAAGGACCATGAAGCCAAGACAGTCAAGAGGTCATGCTGTGTACGCACAGAGGGGTGGGGGGTGTTGATAACTCAAAATATATTATAACCTCATGCAGATTCACTCGCGCATGTTTGTGCGTTCACATGCAGGAGGCTACAATTCACAACATCTACAACATCTATACACAAGTGAAGAGTGCTGGCATATCACAAACGCACACAAACACCACAAAGTTCTATCCCTCCCACCTTAACTGCAGGGCCTGCTCTCGATCTCGCTCCACAGGGGCACAGAGCCTGACCACAGACATCATACTGATTGCTCACCATGGTCGAGTGGTCTGTCCACATTCCCACCCTGATTCACTATGTGCAGAAAACCCAACAACGGAAAACAGTGGTTTGAGAGTGTCTGGAGGTTTGCGGACAGCAGTGAGTGTCCGCTGTGTCTCTCCTAAATCTATCCTCCTCTCATCCCTTCGACTGCCCTGCTGCATACCCCAGGAACATGAGAACAGTCGAGTGCAGACCCAAACTGATGTGTGTGTGTGTGTGTGTGGAATGTTTTGGGCTCGACTTGAGTGCGTATGCATGCATGCATTTGCTGGGATGAATATAACCTTCCCTCTCTCCTGTGTGACAGGTTGTGGCAGGTCGGTAGATGATGAAGTGATGGAGATGTTAGGAGGCCACGGCCATTGTGATGCTGGGTGGCTGTTACTCTGGAACTGCCATCTGCCGAAAAGGTCAGTTGCTAGGGGACCATTCTCCTGGACCGTGTCTGCCTCCCAGCTGCCATCCACACACTCACACACCCACACACTCACACACACACACACCCACACACACACACACACTGACTATGCACAAAATTCACACACATACACAATCGCACATTCACGCTCTTTTCATTGTTTCCCTAGAAATCGGAATTGAATTTGACTAAATTTGACCCGCTGCATTGACCGCTATTAATCCACTGGGTATTATTTCTGTAACTTTAGGTCAGGTTTATTTATTCTTTATGTGATATGTGTGTGATGAGGCTATAAATGCATATCTGATTACGTAATTGCCCTGTGGTCACTCAGTGGCACAAAACAAATGCTTCTGATTATTACATGAGCAGTGTAAGGGTGTTCCTGTCATAACAATGGCCCTAATTAATTGGAGTTTGGCCCACAGTCAGATGCTAGGATTACAATGTAATGTTGGGGCAGACAAGGAAATCAAATCAGTATTGTGCGCCAGATCCAAGCCATGCCACATTGTCCATCAGAACCACTGTGAGCAGCCTATCATTCAGTGCGGTGACCCAAACCCAATTCTGAATTCTTTATCATACGCCTTTCAAATTAAAGCCAACTCCACCCAACGGGCAAACATTTTTCCACAATTGAGCTGGAATTTTAATGTGAAGCTGCTGTGCCTTCATTATGCTGAATCATCTTCTCTGCATGTTCTGTGGTGATTGACCTGATTGCTGCATGATTGTATTGAGCACAGTTTGGGGAAGTGAAAACGGTTTCCTTTCTCAAGCTTAAATCATTAACACTCTCACTCTCAGTTCAAACAGTGTGGCTATATTTCATATTGTCGGGTTGGCTTAATTGGCAAAACGGTTCTATTAACTTTGAACCCTGTACCCCTGTTATGTTGCTCCTGAAGTTAAGGGCCCTATAAAAACACCAGATAGTGGTTCACTTAAGCTTTTTGCTGATGAAATAGGGAAAAAAGAACCATATCACAATTAGTAAGCCTCAGGACCAAAGTATACCTTAGAAAGTGACAAAGTAAATACTGCCGCATATAGTGCAAGTGTTGTACTAACAATATGATACAGTAACTGTGTTATTAAGATATTGGCAGTACAGTAGCTGACAGAATCCAAACCAACTGTACAATTTTGTGTTCTTCTGTCTTTTTTTTTTTAATCCTCCCTGTCACACTTTCCTGCTGCCCTTCCTTGTTTTCCTTCCTCAAGCCCTCACCTCCAGTCTGTGCCTTTTCTCCACCGGCCATCCAGAGACAGTGACTTTTGTGCAGTGGAGCTGTTGTTTTTGTTTGTGCCCTTCTCACCATGGCTGCCTGCTCGCCGCCTGGCAGCCCCGTGTGTCAAAGGTGGCTGCAGCAGAACAGACTGTGGGAACAGCCGGTTAGCCTCCCCTGGTCCCCTGCTCCCCAACCAGAGGGGCAGCCATCAATCCAGCACTCCCCCTGCCCCTGCACACACAAATGCCCAACCAAACACACACTCACACAAAAAGCCTACAACGCTCACACCCTCTCCCAATAATCCTCGGAAGCAATTTCATCTCGACTCGGGTGGCGGCCCATTGTCGCCAGCCCCTTCAATCTTTCCTTATTAACTCTCGCTTTGTCCTGCATCCGAGCTTCTGGACTCATCTCTCCTACATTCCGATCGGTGCTGCTCCCAGCACTCCCAGGCAACCTCCATTCGCTAATCCCACTGCCTCCCCCACCAGCCGCCCCACCCCAAGGAACTCTTACTGCTTTTTTTTTTCCAACCTGCCGATCACCTACTTACAGAGTAAGGTAGGGGCATTAACTCCATGGGTTTTCTGAAGGCAGAGTGTGAAGGCGGGGTGGGTGAAGGAGGAGGCGGCCACAAAGTGACTCCAGCCCAGACAATTAGAACAATGAGCTGGGCCTGTAGGGGGCTAACTCGCTGCGTCACGCCTGGACGGTGGGGTATTTTGTCAGTTTAATGAATTGTCCGTCAGGCCAGGGCCACATCGCAGGCTGCGCAGGGAGAGGCCAGCAGGGACCCAGACACTAAGTCGGTATTTATTACACTGCCTTTGTCACTAATTGAGCTAATTATCACTGACTCCTCAGCACTCCCACAGGCAGCACCCCCTCCACTCACTCTCTCTACCAACTCTCTCACTCTCACGCCTGGGATTTGAACTCTGCCTTCCCTCTTCTTTTCTTAAATCTGTCGGCCACTTTCTCTTTCTTTTGTTTCTTTCTGTGTATCCATGATCGCCTATCAAGTCTCTCTCGTGCCTGGTTTGTATCATTTTCACATTTGCAGGCTTTTCCTTCCTCGTGACTTTTTCTCTATTTGTCACATTATTTAAGCCAAGTCATACATTGACCCCTGTATCCAGTAATACAAGACAAAATATTATTGCTTTGGAGCAATAAGATGTGTAACTCTGGGATCAATCTAAATTTTAAGTTCTCATCTTTCTGTTCTGGTTAGCCACCCACCCTCATGTGACCCCATAATTGGCAGTATTTTGATTCAGTTTCCTCTGATTTATTCTTTGTGTCTTCTTAATCCCCCTACGTCTATAGAATTAAATGTTCTACTTCCTCTTCAATGCTGACCAATCTCTGCTCACTTTATTGATTTATTACTTAACTTCTTGCTTTCCATTCATGCCACAGGCAAAGGAGACACTTGTGAACTCCACATATAATATCAAGACTGTAATTTAGAACATTTCTCCTCCCCGCCCTTTTTCCTATGTCGTCCTGTCTGTCCTTACAGCTGCAGGTTTTTGCTTAGTTGTAGGGACCTTTGGATGTTTGGGTGTATGTTGGTGGCCTTACTTTGCCTCCACTGTGCTCTATCTGGATGACCCTGGCTACTCCTGTGCTGTGGTGAGAGAAAGTGGAAAGCTTTCCAAACTCCCGTGGTTAGTCAGGTTGCCAGGGGCTGGTGGAGACTCTAGGTTTTCATTATTTTTCATACTATTTCTTTATTTCTTTCCGACATTAAGCAAATGAAGCAGAACATTCAATGCAGTAAAATCCTATACTGTATAAAATAAGGTATGTGGCTGGATAAGCAGGGGTCGTCTCTGTGGTTGGGAGCACAGATGCGGGGATGTTTTGTGAGCTGGAGAAAGAGACTGCTTTGGTGGTGGTAATAGGATTAAGCAAAGGACACCCAGGGACAGGCTTATATGTTCACTTGGTTGGTTGTCAAAACTTTCTCAAACAGAAACTACAACAGACAATATAGCATCTTTTATTTTAATTGAAAATATAGACTTTATTGTTCTATCATACAATACAAAACCAACTGCAAACTAAATCTTTTGATCAAAATCTAAAAAAAGTCTTCTCTTACATCTCTCTATAACAGTATAAAAATCCTCAGAAATAAATATTTTGTATTTACACTAATAAAAAAAGGTAAATATTCAGTGCATGAACACAAGTATTTTTTTTACAGGAAACAAGCAAGTGATAACGTTCTGTTTCTAGTAAGAGTCGGTTTTGTGTCAGCTACATTACACCAAAATAGAAAAAGGCATAAGATCCAAACTTCTCCTGACTTAACACTAATGATAGTATAATTTCCAGCCACTGACAGCTGCATAACTCATTCAGCAAACTTACAAATGACGTCATTATAAATATATTCATATATTTTAATATTTACAGCATTTTGGTTCTCTTAGCTGATATACAGTATGATTTCTGCAGCTGAGGCCGTATTCTTCAAAATAAAATGTTTGTCTGTGACCTAGCTGCTTTTCACAGCCTAACCTGAAGTAATACACCATTTGCCTACTTTAAACCTACACTCATGTATTAACAGGAATTTAGTTTATTTTTGTTACTTCATATACTTCTCCGTATGGCATTAGTTTTCATTTTGAGAGCATGGTGAGATTCTGCAGGTCACATTTCATTTTTTTCTATTGACCCCTCATATTTGCCAAACTAGATCTAGCCATGCCATGATATTCAGTGTATTGATAATACATTCAAATTACATTGACTCAGTAAGATTTGCTCAGTCAGTTTCTGTTTTTCTTGGCGAGCACCGGTACCAGTCATGTAACATCAAGAGCATCCTGTGGTATTTCAGAGTGGCAAATCAGGGTTGAGGTGTATTCAACTCCAGAGAAATCTAAATAAAGGGGCAAATGTGGTGAGGAAATTATAAGTGGCTGGGCTGCATCCAGGGCCTAAGTACACAATTTGGAAACAGACAGCCCATCCCTGGAGATAAACTTCACACAATTTCATGTGAGAGGAGCCAAACTTCAGCAAAAGAAAACAAAACACAGATTTTTTTTAAATAACTTCCCACTTGTTAGAGGTCTTCACCAGTTTATAAGAGCACATGTTTGTGGCTCTCTGGCCACAGAAACATCTGCGAAGCATTGTGTCCAGTTTCTGCCCTCAGTGGGGGAGAAGAAGGCTCTGGTAGTACCTGGTTACAGCAATCGATCCTCCACCACATCATTTTGTCCCTTTACTTTTAATTCTATTTATCCACAGTGTAAACTCTTGAGGGATGTGGATGATTTCCATACTACATGGAAGGTTGTAGCGTTTAAATACCCTTGTAATACTGTTAAGCATCAAAGGCAAGGAGCAAGCACATATACTCCCTCTATACCCTGTTCATATAGTTGTGCTTTTCTCCATCTCCCTCTTAATACTGATTGATTTTTTGTGCCAGAGTTTTCCCTGTATCAGTTAACCCACCTTGAAGCTTTTCTAGCTTCTACCTAACATCTCAAACCACCTGCGTGCTATTGGCTTTCTCAGCCAACTCCCTGTTTTGATAAGACCTTCTTTGCCTTTTATAAATGCCTAATTATTCACTTGGTTGTCCCTCTGTGATCATAGACACTGGTGTATTGTTCGTGTACTGGTGCAGTTCAAGCAGCTGACATGGCAGCACCAGTGGAAGGTGCAGTGGCAACGTTCAGTCACACTCTCAGTCCGGGTCTTAAACCCTCGTCCACAGCAC